CACAACTTCCATTTTGTTTACGCCTTATTTTAAAGTCTGTTTACTATATGCTTCAATTAAGGGCACTGCCAGCGTCCCCCAGACTCGGATGGGAGGCTGATTAGAGAATATGTATTTGGAAAGTTTCGGCAGGAAGCAGTCGCAACCAAATTTGATTTATCGTCTCGACATTTGCCTGGCTTCGCTCAGGAAACCAAGAGTAACCTGAATCAGGACGGCTGATGCTCCCGCCGAGACCCGAACCTCTCCTCTCTAATACCAGTCAGAAGCGTTGCAGCTCGAGGCAGCTTGCTCTGTTTGTTTCGAGAGATCTGATTTATCGAAACAAGCGCGTAACTTTTCACCTTGCCGGTTTGCAAGCCTCTTTCCCATAAGTTCACATCACGTGACAGGCCTGTGATCATGAGTTCTATAAAATTACTTCTGTGTATAATAGGCGGATCTGGGAGGCGTGAATGTGGAGTGGGGGTGCAAGATGGTGGGGTTGCTTTGTGAAAGGCTGCCTAATGATCGCATAGAGTGTTTGACTCTGCCGGGGAAGTGAAAGTAGGTCCACCAATCGCAGGAAGCTTTCTGCTGATGGGGAAAAGGAAACCGCCAAAGCAGTGGTTCAGAGATTTTTACTTTTTCTTTAATGGCGCTGGCGCAAACGAAAAGGATTTTTGTTTACTTATTTAACGACGCTTCTAAATTACATAGGTTACATAGCGACGAAAGACAGCTTTAGAGTGAACACTGCCATACACTCTGGCTTCAGTGGTAAAAGGTGTGGTTTGTGTTCGAGAGGTTCGTGTTTCGAATATTAGCCGGGATACCAACAAAGTAAACTGAGATTCTTCGTGATTTTCTTTTGTCCCTGCGGGCAACTTCCCGGACGTACCCTGAAGATGGAGTCATGATATTCCTCCGAGATGTTGGTGTCAGCCTTCCTAACAGAAATCTACTTTCTGAAATTCTATATGTAGTTTTCAGCTCCGTTATTCTTAACTTCTTCCTCCTTCACTTGATGAATGGTATGAGCGACATTTCGGAAAGTACGATGGGAGGAAATGGACACTGGGGGGATGTATTTGTCTGCAAAAGTGAATGAAAACCATAATGGATATCTATATAAGGAGAGGCCTAGGGCGTATCTGATGTACCTAGTTGCACTCTAACCACAGACATGCCGGTTACGCAGGAGTAACAAGTGCAAAAGCATTTCGGTAATGTTTCTACTTCCTTTGTGTGTGAAATTCCAATGTTCTGTAGACCTAAAATTTCAGCCTTAAATTGCTAATCGATTTTATAGCAAGATAGGACCAATCGGCATACCATACTAGACTTACGTAATGACACCGAAACTTTTTTCAAATAAAGATTATAAATCTAAGAGAGATGATTTTATTTTATGCCAAGTGGCATTATATGCTGAAATTATAGTCTTGCTTATTACTTTATAAATTATCTTCTTACTGATTTATGGTTAATAGGCCTAGAGCTGATTACTGAGAAGCAAAACATATTTCGCTCGACAACTGTTGAGTGTAAACCATACCAGATTTGATCTAAAAGTTTATGACGATGGTATATTGCTACACGTATTATGTTTTTGGACATTATCCATCGTCTTGTCTATATAAAAAGTCCTATTTCTTTTTAAAAACACAACGTTTCGGAGACTGGATTCTGTCCCCGTCCTCAGGTAAAACTTACTGAGTTGGGACCCAACTGAGTAAGTTTTACTTGAGGACGGGGACAGAATCCAGTCTCCGAAACATTATGTTTTGAAAAAGAAACAGGACGGTTTTTTTTAAAAAAATAGGCAAGACGATGGATAATGTCCAAAAACATAATACTTGTACCATTCCAGATTTAATCGAAATCCATCAAGTAATTTGAAAAAATGAAATATGCGGGCACAGACGAATGGATATGAACTACATTCCCCCTATTATATGTTCACTTTATGTTTTTATACTGACTTTGAATACATAGAAAACTGTCATCAATAAGGTATCTTACGGATTGTACTGAAGAGGGTTTGACTGAACCATCGCGAGTGATATCAACTTCAGATCGTTGTTTCTGGTCTGTCTTGGTTTGTACCCTGTAATGTTCATTAGTATGAAGTTTCCATCGTGATAACCGGAGATAGGGTTCATTGAGGTGGGGGTGGGGGAAGGAAGGGGAGGGTTATTCTTTGTGACGAGACGTGTTTTCATTGTTCTGGATAATAAGAGGGATGATACTGCAGAATGCATTGTATCGTGGCGCCATCAGGTAAATGGAGTTGTGATAGCGGTAAGCATCATCAGTTTATTTCAGCATTCTCGAACACACTCGTTACAAGCGCTCCTTGCACGAAATTCATAATAGGGCGATCATGCCAGTCTGTAAGTTAATCTAAAAGAAAAATTACTGTACGGGTTTTGATGAAATTTAGTATATATGGTGAAGTCATTTATTTACAAGTAGTTTATTTAACATATCTGTGAGTAACTAAAATTATATAGCGTCAGAGGATTCCATAATAATGAATAATAAATTGGTAAGGATGTGTAAGGAAGCGGTCATACTTAATTTAATGTACTATTTTAGAATTTGCATGGAGGGACTGAGGAATATCACGAAAAAGTCTTATTATAGGCGATATATCGATTATAACCTATAGCATAAGATTAAGCTTAAGCGTATAATTTCTGTTATAGATGAAACTTGAGCTTAGCTTGTCGAACGAATTTAATATTGGTCTGTATTCATCAGATAATACCTTTATGTCTGTCTGATGATTCCCTTTATGTAATTGTTTAATTGTACATAAAATGAGTAAGTTCTATGTGACAAAATATTATGCGAGCTTATAAAACCTATGTCTAACATCGTACAGCTCTTATCTGAAGTATTTCTTACTTACTTACTCATGAAGCTGAGCCCTTCTCAAGAAGCCGCCAATTGTGCAGCTACTCAAGAGCTTCCCAGCATTTTCTGGAACCCTGAGATTCATTACCATGTTCGCAAGAGCATTCCACTGGTCCTTATTCCAAGCCAGATCAATCCACTCCATACCATGCCATCCTATTTCTGTAAGATCCATTTTAATATTGTCTACCCACCTACGCATTTGTCTTCCCAGTGGTCTCTTTCTAGATAAGTAGACGCAAAATAATTCTGACTGTGCAGTGTGATCTTGTATCATTAACAATTCAACAACAGATTCCATTTGTAATAAGTGACCACAAAGACAACTTTGTACGTAAATAAGTTCGGTGTACTTCACTGCACTGGCTTATGCTGTACCACTCATGTTTAGGAAATAGCGTTAAGGCATTTATTTTTATACCTTCTCGATTCATAGGTTATTTTATAAAGCTCTTTCAACTACTGAAGTTATTCAACGTCGATTTAAATGACAGGATTTGAAAGAAATTGCTCCATCATTCACTCTGATAATGTATGAGCAAAATGCACAGTTTTAGTTTGTCAGAGCAGATGGTACATATAGTTACTACTGGGCTTGAAGGAGTTAATAAATTTCACCTTAAAATATTCTGTACCGTCGCAGGGAAAATCCATAACGGAGAAAGTGAGGTTATGGACTTTCATTAACCTGCCTTTCATTTATAGTCTCTGAAAATACTTCGCGACAAGTCTACGCCATAACTTCCTGATATGGAATAATAGTGAAAAGGGAAAGTTGGCGGAGTGATTGTAGGACTGATATATAACAATGTTTGTGGGGACCTTTAGCAGGTTGTCTCTTGCGTGTGACTTCGCATGTTTGACACGGCGGTCGCTGCAGAACGTTCAGAACCAAAGAACCGAACTGTGTGACGTACAGTGGACTAGAAATGACGCTCCGCATTGCATATTTCTCCACTGGAGACATAAAGTGATGAAGTTCAATGGCGTTACAGCCCTAAAATTGGTTTCCGGTGACCACATGATGCGGAGGAAGCCTCATCTTTCTGATTTAAGGAGAAACGTTCCAGAATACTGTTGCAACTTTCTATCCATTAACCAAGCAGAATGACCGATAAGTTTGTGTAAAAGTAGAACAAATTTCTTGGCCGATAACAGTAGCCGCGCGGTCAAAGGCATGAACTATCTTCGCTCGCTCGGACGCTGATATCATAGGTTCGAATCTCTCTCAAGGCATGGATGTTTGGTGTTTATGCGTTTATTCTGTGTTTTTGTTGCCCTCTGTTTAGGTATCGGCCTTGCGACTGGCTGATCACTCGTCCAAGGGGTCCTGCCGTATGAGAAAAATGATTACGGAACTGAATAAGAGGCCCGGGCTCTGAATGGGCTGGAAGGCATTTTACTGTTCTTAACACCATCTGAATCGCCACACTGGACTGAACGCTATGACTACAGAAGACGGGAATATTTCGCTGTAATTTTCTCAGAACGTCTTCTTGGTTATGCCATTACGTATCGACCTACCATGAAAGAGAGAAAGAGAGAGAGAGAGAGGTAGACAGACAGGAAGACAACGGGTTTCGGAAATTTCTCAACGAGCAGGATAATGTAACGCACTATACGTGTCGGCAAGTTAAGAAAATTTCCCCCGAACTTCATTAAGCACCACAACGTGAAGCAGCGATTGACCGATATTCCCATTGAGGTTATTGGGTGCTTCAGTCTATGTAAATGACGACGTACTCGTATTGTCTTAAACGGACGGTGGTCATCTCATTCCAAATAATTACCTATGTTTTAATCAGGATTATGTTCCGAATATAATATGTCTCAAATTTTATGGCTGAAACCTCGATATTCAGTGAAATGTGGGGTTCTCACGGCTGCAACTGTGAAGATTACTGTGTTATTGGTTGTGACGTAGTGTAGCCTGTTTCGGCGGAAGCTGTTACCTTCATCTTCAAGGCAAGAACTGGAGAGGGGGGCAACAGGTTCTGCCGAAACTGTAGTACAGAAGAGAGTAATGCTCAGAGTCAATAATTGCTGATAAGCTAGGGATAAATCATCTTTTATGTTTACTTCAAGATCTTGCAATCAATACTGACACGGTTAAATTACCAAAAAGTGTTCAGCTTTGATCTTGCAATCCTCCAAGGAAATAAGATTTGGCGCCATCTTGTCTACAACTGAGGAAACTGTTGGCGATCGAACGATGAGTTATTTGAAACTGAACACAGATAATTTCAATACTGCACAATTTATTTAACTTAGAATTTGTAAAAGTCACCATCTGAAGTAAAAATTAATACGATTTGTATGTGGTCGTTTTAAAACGTTAAGACAAAATTTCCCTTTGTACTTTTTCGTAATGTATAGTACATCAGTTCGTGCTGAGGACTGGCAATAGCATCAACCTTCCTGTCTGCTTAATACGGTCACTTTCACAAAACATGTCGTGTGGTCCATCACTTCTTGTAGATATTCATCACATGTGTAACGACACAATTTTTTTCATACTGCAACGTCCACCATGTTAGAAAAATTATTAAGCAGTCGTAATAAACAAACAAACAAACAAACCCAAACGAATTGAATTAATTTATTTACGGCTGTGCGAATATACGTGGAATCTCTTGCGCAAAAATCCCACCAGATTCCTTTCCCCATGCTTGTCAAAAACGTTAAGAGTTGAACACTGTGATACGGAACCACTCACACCTATATCTAGCTGAGAATCACACATTACACGATGTAGCAAAACTTGTTCAGAACTTCCACGGTAAGAGCATTTCGTGTCTATCTCACCTGTTCTGCATTAATGTCAGTCTTCTTTGCTTCATTTATTTGGCCGAGAGAGAAACTTGAGAGCCAGTTGAATAATTTTACTATGCATTTTATTTCATATTCTCACTCGAAAATATAATCAATGGCAGACAACAGTTATGCATTCGCATTTAGTCCAAATTTTAAGAAGATTGAACTGGATTGATACGTTTGAAAAAAATTGGTTAAATTTGCTCCGTGAATTATATCGACTGTTTAACGAATGAGATTTATTAATATAGGAAATCTAGTATCATAGATCTCAAATGCGAAAGAATAATAAAATTGTTCTATAACAGGTAAGATTTTCTTTTACTCGTGGAATTTAAAAGCACGAAGTACTTTGAAACTTTTAATATAATTGTCAGTAACAATCACAATTTCGAAACTGTAATCACCACTAGGCACTTAATTCTGGCTACAGAACAGAGAAGTGACGTCACGAGATTAGAAGATGGTCCAGATCAGGTGAGTCTAGGGAATCATCGTCGAATACTAACAAGGGAGACTGTTCTTCAGTCGTGTGTTCCTCGAAGTCTGCGGGCGTGAGGCAGTGCTGACTGAGGTCTGGGGGCTCTAGCACAGGTACTGAGAGACACATTTGAGAATTTGATGCTGAAGGATGATGACATTGCTGTTCCAAACCTGGGGACAGCAAACAGTGTCGGCTGAGGTCGTCGGATGTCGCTGACGCAAAGCAGGTAGCTCTTGTACTTAGTTCTGTAGAGGGAATGTTCTGGCTAGGGACCGTCATAGTTTTGTGGACGTCGGACGAGGAACTGGGACAGAGGCGCTTGTTGTCTAGTGGAGTGCCGCTGTGCTGACTATGGTCTTGCGAAGAAAGGCGTGTCAGATTTGCAGGAGTGAGGCACTGCCGCGTGAAGTCTGTGGAAGTGAGGTCGGGCGGTGTGAGGCAGTGTTCGCTGAAGGTGAGTGACTCGCCTTCTGATACGAACTGTAGACTGCCACTACTACTGCTACTATTGCTACTGATGGAACTCGGGGGTTGTAGTGCTGGCACTCGAATTTCGGACATCTGCAGGATGGCGTCGGACTGCTGGAGCGCCTGGCTCAGGGCGGCGATATATTTCATGGCTAATCTGAGAGTGGTGATCTTGGTGAGCTTCTCGCTGCCGTTGCTGTCATGTTGATTGTGGTGAGCGGATGTTGAGATGTGAGGCACAGCGCGACGGAGCGTCTCGAAGGCGGCGTTGATTTCCCGCATGCGGTCCCTCTCACGGGCGTTCGCTGTCTTTCGCCGATATTTGCTGAGCGGCGGAGGCTTCTGTTTCGGCCGTGCAGTGGACCCCGCTCCTGAATTGACGCCTCTTCTCGCATACCCTCTGCCGCTAGAAATGCGCGTATGTTCGGAATCCTTCGATTCTGAGCGTCTTTGTAGTGATCGCGGTCTGAGCGAGTATTTTTCGCCACCACTGCTGCCGGCCTTAACAGCTGATTTCACACCTTCCCCTTCTGCAGATCTGTGTTTGTTTTCATCTACCACTAAACCCCCACCGCTGTTATTATTTGAATCCAAAGACAAGGGCAGGGGACATGTTGCAGGCTGCTGCTGTAGTCGTTGATGAGAGGCGATAACGTCACTCACCACGGTTTGCACTAGGGAACTCATAGTCTGTTACATGATCCGCATAGTAAACGTATATTACAGTTCCATGGTTTCACACCTATTGACGAATCTGATATAGTGTTCACATTTCTGTTACCTCTGACATAAGAGTGTTCTTCACGTCAACGTGTCTCTAATCGTCAGGACCTCGGAACGTGAATTAAGCTTCCTTTTGTAGAATATTTTATAGTCTGTCACCGACCACTGTACTGACCTTATTGAAGACGCCAGCGTCTAGATGCTGAATGTGACATTTTCATATGAACCTATATCGAAATGTCGGAGACGAGGTTTTAAAGAATAAGTGTATTGAGTCCCAAGCATTAGTGTTTCTGAATTTTAAACTGTAATATTATGAAGTTATGACGATGAAATGAAGCTCACACTAAACAGCTTATCACAATACAACAGAATTGAACCCAAACATTCTTGTTTTTCATCGTGTCATTCGTGCAAACGGAATGGAAGGTTAGTATGTGGATTTTTTGTGAGGCTTGAGTTACTGACCCTAGATGAAAAATGGCCCTGAGGCAGCGGTTCGATGCGCGCTGAAGTTAGCCTTGGCGGTCAGCTGCTTGTCTGTCCCTGCCCCCTAACGGCACACCAAGAGGTCCAGAGACCGAGAGCCCTCCATGTGCATTAGGCGTTTTCCCCATTGCGCCTTCACCTTAAATATCAACATAATTTAATGATTACGTCTCCTTAGCACAGTTTCATGCTTAGCTACCACCAGTTCACAGCCTTATAGAAATGCCCTTCAGGTTTTCATTTGTCTTGCATCCGCGGTTCTGTAATAAAATCTTTCGCCGTTAAGAGAGTTGTAACTGACATAAAAAGAGTTATATTATCTGTCTTCGCGCTCATTGACAGTGTCTTGTTTGAGCACGTGCGCGGCAGTGGCAAGTAGCATGACATTGCAGGTGACTAACGAGGCGTGAAACTCGCCACCCGCACAAAAACACGGCGCTTCTCTAAAAAACGACACCAAACTATCTCCATCAAATTGACTGAATTAGACGTCGTATCGTACACGTTCTCTCGCCATTACAATATTATACCGAGCGAAGAAGTTTGGGACGTATACTGATATTTAAAATTTCCCTTTTATATTAGCTCAATATTTCGTATAACATAAAATGGTCGCTTTTAACACCATATCACTCTCGTTCACTTTACGGAAATTGTATGTTATTCTGCACCATAATTCACAACACATTCACACCTGGAAAAAATAATTGTGTCAGAAGTATACACCGATATAATAATTGATCCACGATATAACCTGCTTCCTAACTTCTCTCCGTGCAGAGAAATCTCACTTGCGGCACCCACTATCAAAAGTTCGTGTCTTATCCCACCACCAGAATCTCCACAATACAACCACAGGCCTTTCAGAACTCCTATGTCGGCACTTTGTTTAACGTTACGACGGAAGTTGTCTACAGAGAGACCGAAACGATAAACACGCCTCTCTTATTCAGTGGACCAGCGGTGACTGACAAGATGACCGAGGAGTCAGCTTAGCCAACCATAGAGATGCTGAGTTACTATTCCGTGGTAAGAGATCTGGAGCTAGAATGTTAGCTGCGCGGTGCTGCCACGTAGCGGCCAAGACCGAGAGCTGAGTCGAGCCATCTTGATTTGAATGCTTTGAGTGCGTTGCACATTTTAGAAAGGGTCAACTATCTTCCGTTTCAGTTTTCCATCTTATTCATAGTGATGGGCAATATTATCTCATATCAAGGTCTTGAGAATATCAGAGATTCACGATAGGATTCTGCAGAGCGAAGTGAAGGACCAACTGTATTCCCAAATTTGTAATGCTATATGTTTATTTTGGATTTTTATTTTAGTACTACACTTCAGTTACGTAAAGTGATAAGCTAAAATTCTGGTAAGAAATTAATAATCATGTAATTTTAAATAGGGAATCGAAAGGAAAATGTGAAGGTTCGTTTAAGCACCAAAATCGGTGATAATTTAATGAAATCAGCAATTAAAATTCGATACAAAACATTATTACCTACAAAACTGCAACATAATGATTTACTTAAATATAAAACTGAACATAGTTGAAGCTAAAATTGATAGTTGTTCGCTATTCTTCTATTTCATTCTGCCAATTAAAGTCACTTATGGTATTTAAGTATTGCATTGTATTGATAACAAGAAATACAGGCCTGTGTTTCATAGTTGTCTTTCGACTAAAACATACAATTCTTTCTTGTTACTATGTATGCGCTAAGCTCAGGATTCGATTCCCAGCAGGAACGGAGACAGCAACCAGACGACTGTAGGACGCATCCACGGGGTGCAAGGGGCGCGTGCTTCTGAACTTGTGTGTCCAGAGTATGAAACTGACCATTTGCCTCCATGTAGTACCGATGTTAAGAATGCATGGAGTTTCTCATCCACTCCACCGTAAGTCTTAGTTGCGTTTTGCATAATTACTGTGACTGCATTACTTTCGTATGTGGACACAACGAACTGCATAGTCGAATAGTCAGCACTTCATATTTTTATTCGAGAGGATCCAAATTGAAATCTTAGTCCGGAGGTTGACTGCTCTAGGGTATTTTGTGGTTTTAGTCAGCCTCTCCAGGCAAATGGTGTGACAATACGAAAAACTCACATTAGGTCACTACCGGTTTGTGTTAGATCCTGCCCAATTCGTTATTCAATAGTCATACTATAATTTGACGCTCTATAATCACAGCTATTGAAAGCGTTATTAAATTAATCACACATAAATAAAATACAGATACAGTAAGGTGAAGACAAACCTGATTCAGAGCCCCACACACGACAGTCTCAGAGATTGAGACAAGCCAGCATATACCATTATGCTATCGCTGTCGGAGGCGTTCAGGTAGCGTCCTGAAGCGATATTAGTCGAGCTGAGGAGGGAGAATAATACCTATCCTTGTGCGTCTTCTGTCAAAGCTATTTGGTTCTTTTTTCCCCAAGATTTAGGCCTTTCTTCCTTTTCAAAGTTGGGAAGGAGGATGTTAAATTATCGGTTTGGGAAACAAAATGAATTTTGTAGAGCTCTGTTATCATCATATATTTTATATGTATCTTCATGAAAATATTTATGATTTTTTTGAACAAAAGGATTTCTGCCAAGGAGAGTATTTTAAATTTGTGATTAACAATACAGGAACAATGGTTTGGTGTTGTGTTGTTATGTGCTTTCTGGTCGTTAGATATTTTTGCGCGACGTGGCGTATCGGCCAAGGTTCTGCACGAGCGAGCCCGTTGATCTGGGGACTGCGGCACTTGTACTCGATAAATAGACTGAAGCTGCCATTTTGATCTTCAGGACGGGATGTACACTGAATTATAACCCTACCTAGCTGTCCTGCCAGCGTGTCTGGGAACTTTTAAAGCACTTGTGCCAATTCAACAGGTGCTGGAATTTTCCCATTTAAATAACCAGTTCAACAGTGTTGTTTCTACCTTCAAAGCAACATATCAAACATGATTAGAATTATAGTGTTGGAGTAGAGCCCGTTGTTTTAATGCGCATTCTTTTACATCGAAGATTAAGCTTGCGGCACTTGAGAAATGTCGCGATCAGCTTTTTATGGCTTAGTTTATTACATCGTGATAGGCCTATCCATTTTCTCATCATTCTGTATAGAACTCTAGGAGCAACTGAATTAAGTGCCAGGCGCAATCGCGCAATCGCACTATTTGTACGTTGTTATGCGAGGAACAAATTTATATTATGCAGTGCAAATTCTTCGTAAAATGTTTAGCTGATAAATTTATGGCTTTAGGACTAAGGAATTCACATCAGAGCTTAAGTAAATCGTTAATGACTGATGCAGTAAGCATTTATGTTTCCACCCTTGTTCGGTCCTTTTGTCTTCAATTAGATATTTTTTGTTGATATCTGAATAATTACGTTTCACAATGTGTGTATGTCTAGTCATGTGTTAGTGCCTAGAACGGCGTTTAGACTGGTAATTGGATTTATTGAACACTCATAAATTGCAACTACAAGTAACTATAACGTTGTCACTAATTCGCTCACTCTATTTCTCCCTGCAGCACCAGCTAAATCCTCTGTGTCTTCACTAGCCGTTGCCTGCTAACGGATGCCAACAATGTCCCTTTCTGCTCACGTCGTTACTGGCTGGCGACTGCCTAACAAGTTACTCATAGCCGTCCTCGGCACAGATGTCATAAAAACACCGATTTACACGTTTTTCCTCGGCCGTGGCGTAGCAACGGCTCCCTGTTTCATGACGTAGTCATGCGTTTATTGTGCCATAACCTTGCAGCGGCTGCCTCTTTCAATTATCATGTCACGATGCTGTTGTCGTTAATTACGTTCTTTGGTTGTTACACCGTGTGGACATAGGCCAGTGTTTCTCAACCGCCGGGCCGCGACCCGGTACCGGGCCCTCGTCTTACAGAAAAAAGAATTTACCTGGCCGCGGTCCGTCAAAGTTTGAGAACCACTGATAAAGGCGATGTAGCCGATGTTCCAGAGATGTATTCTTCCTCCATTTTCAGGATTGCATGTTGAAGGTAGTCTTTATGTGTACATATAAGATCCTGTTTCGAAGAAGACTTGGATGAGGTAGAACAAAGAGAGTTAAGCTGCATTATTCGTGGTGAGCACTAGAATGGGTGAAGGCTTGGGAATATTAACTGCCGGTGAAAATCATTCGGTGAATTCCGTTGCACTAAAAAAGGCCGGTTGTAAGCGTTCCCGTCTTCATTGTTTCGGACGAGGCACCGATCCCCACTCGCTCTCTCCGACGTTGTTTTAAGAAACAGGAACACAAAAACTCACCTGTGTACTGAACCTCGACCCAGAAGATGGAGGCAGTGCATGCCTCCGAAACTTCGGCAACATTTCCCCACTCAAGTCGTATAGCAAACCAAGAACAGAATTAACATCCACAGTTACCCACCGTGAAAACCTGAACTCAATAACAGTATGGTAACATGTTTAGAAAAGAGTAAGAAATCGCATCTTATGAATTTGCAATTATCTTTCCTTTTGAAAATTCAACTAGAAAATAACATGAGACAAATTTATTTCGGCCATTGGATGAGAACAATGCGCACACAATAGATTTGAATCACAATATCTCGAAGAGTGAGTCCTCGGGCGAAGAGCCACTAAGATCGAGTTACCATCTATTCTTCCAAATTACGCCAATAGGAAGCAGACCATGATGATTACGCCATGTAAAGTCAGTCAAGCACTGGGATCTCAGTTTCGAATCCCGCTCCGGGAACAGATATTGATTTTCGTTTCCCTGCGATGTTCTGTTGCTTCATCTATTGTTTTATGTCTACATTTACTGAAGTTGCACATTGGTGGAAACGAATAGGACCCTTTCACCATGAAGAAAAATACAATTTCCTGTGTTCCAAATACTGCATTAGCGCGAACATAAGGCGAGTCACCTTAAGAATGAGAATGAAGAAGGTGATTATGCCTGTGTGGAGTTCTAAATGCCAATTCTAATTAAATATCTCAAAACACGCACAATTATATTTAGGGAATTAAATGTATATTATATTATTTCCTAGTAGTATAATTTCTATCTCCTTTTTCTTATAACCACGAGAACTAAGTGACATATTCATTTTTGTCAAAAAAAAGTTATTTTTTTTCCAGTTTCTCATTGGAAGTAGAGGGGTTAGTTATATTGGAGCTTATACGATATTTAACCGAGGTAGCTCAGTCAGAAAGTGGCTGATTAACGAGTGGAGTTCTGGGTTCCTTTTCATTTTTTGTTGCGGGCAGGTATTCGTATCCCTGCCACCGCAATGAAACTGGCTCTGGGGCCAATCCAGTCTTCTGATAGATCAGTGCCGTAGACTTTTTCCGCAAGAGTAAAGCTTCTGAAGTGGGCAACTTGATATTAGACATCCCGTGTAGTAAAGAAGAGTCGCAGCTTTATCTCTGCTTCCTTTGTACACCTTCTTGGTCCAATGATTAGGAACAGAGGTAACTTTACCTTTTATCTTCATCTCTATAAAGAAGCGTGGCAGTTCTCAGAAATTGATAACCTCATTTCAGACAGTGCATCATGGCCGGCCACTCAATGTGCGTACAAAACGTCATGTTCTCCGGAAAGAAGTACCGCTTCATGAAAAGAGAGAAAAAAATGCCAGCATGCCACTGCAGGACCCGAAGAACAAGCGAAAGTTAAACGGCGGGTCGGGTTGTTCGGGATTGTCCTTGCAACACCCGTGGGCAGCCTCACTGCGCATGCTCATTTTGTTTAAGCGTGATGAGTGTGATAGAAGTGGCACTCTGGTTGTTAGATGCCGTACAGCTTGTTGCTTCATTCCGACTAAGTGAATATTCGATGACAAGTCTTGTTATTCGTAGCATCTTCAAATGCTGCCTGTACCTATAAGTGTTTTACAGATTCAGTGTGAAATATATTAACATTAATGACGATCCTGCAGCCTAATCGATATGAAGTTGAAAATCTAATGCAGAGCTGAAAAATTTGTATCCTGGGAACCTGATGATCTTGTAGTTAGATCATTGACTTACATTCAGAGAGTTCTGATTTCCATCCGCGGTCACATCACGGACGTTCTGGCTACGGGATGGACGACCGAGGGGTCGGCGTCTGAGTCCTGGTAAAAAGTAAAGTAAAACTATCCCTGTAACAGGCCGTGAAGGCCCATAGGGTTGTGAGACGTTGAAGTTCTCACATTATATAGACAATCGGCTCAAAGATGGCGGTAAGGTTGTCAACCTTACGCGCCGGCCGCGCTTTACTCCCCAGGAAATTTATTTAATTAATTCCTGGTACTCATTTCTGTTAAAGGCTTAGTCGACTCCAGGGCCATAGTGCGGCTGGAAGGATTAGGTCAATTGAAAAAATCCAGTGACCTCATCGGGATTTGAACCCACGACCTTCCGGCTTGTAGCATAGTACCACAACCAACTACGCTGCCGCGTGCCCCCTGAGTCCCGGTAGGGTGAAGAATTTTCTCTTCTCCACGTCGTCCATACGGGCTCTGAGGTCCACGCAGCCTCCTATCCAATGGGTACCGGGGGCTCTTTCCCCGGGGGAAAAGCGGCCGGGGTGTGAAGGTGACCACTCAACTCCAACTAGTGCCGAGGTCAAGAAAATGTGGCTCTATACATACACTCCCCCATACGGCAAATGTTCTAGTGCTTAATGTGTTAAGTACAGGAACAACTTTACCTTTTTATCACCATATTTGCCAGAGTCAAAACTGGCCGGTCTCGCCGTGATTAGTAGCCCATGCTAAACTGCAAAACCCACTGTCGAGCATAATCTTTATTGCCAGAGGTAACGGAAAGCGCCCTGTGACTGCTCCCACGTCACAAATGGATTCCACACCTACCAGGGCAGAGGTCAAGAAGATCAGAATTCAACACATTTGCAAGCACAAGACGGACAACTTAATATGTACTTTTCATCACATATTAAAGTGGTCAGATCAAGAAAGAACAGATGGCCAGGGCGTGTAATAAGCCCAGGACTAATGGGAATGACGGTAAGTGCGTGCAGAAGTTTAGTCGGAAACCTAAAGACAAGAAACCACTTGGGAAACCTAGTCGTCGATGGGAAGATGATACTAAAATTAGTGGGATTTGAGGTGGACATAATTTGCTTGCTTGCTACCTGGTTTACGCTGATTTATTGCTCAACTTGCTTCTTCGACCCTGAACATGGAGGCGACATGCTTCTCCGGAACGTCGGTTGACTTTCAACGGGCTCCACGGCATTATATCCCAGGATGTATAACTCTTAATGTTAAAATTATTCGTATACGAACAGGGGGTGAGGGTGTCAACTAGGTTCATCAGCTTCATGTAGGAGCCAGTGATGGTGTCTTGTGAAGGCGACAGAAAGGCTTAGGGTTTCATGATGGGCGAAAAGTCTAGGCTGTGACGCCGTGTAGTTTGGTAGATGTTCGCAGATGTTTCGAAATAACGTACTTCGAAGCCCTGTCGCGTTCTTAAGAAGAGCGCCACTGTCATTGTCCAGACTAGAGTTTCATGCCAAGTTCTCCATGAACCACATCTATGTTGTCTCCTTGTCGTAATCTAAGTCCAAACTTAATATTGCAATAAATATTACATAAAAATGGTTTGGCTCTGAAGACAGTTTCATGGGTTATTTCAGCTAGCAAACTGTCCCGAGTCAGGTGTAGTAAAAATATTTATTATTACTGAATCACGATACTAAGTTTATTCGAATATTATATCATGATGTGGCTTCCATTTTTAAAGCATATCCGTAGAACTTAGGTCTATACATCTGCTATCGGAAGGATGGGAGTGGTCCCTCGCCCTACACGCAATGTAGAATGAAGATAATTGCTTTCGTCATGTTACTGTTGTCGTTATGGTTGTTATTAAAAGGTAAAGTTGTCCCTGTGCTAAACGAATTAAATACCACGTCATGAAGTCTTATGGGGGAGTGGATATATAAATCCACATTTTCTTGACCTCGGCACTCATTTATGTTAGAGGATGAGTCGACCCCAGGGCCATAGTGCGGGTGGAAGAATTAGGTAAATTTGAAAATCAAGTGACGTCATCGGGAATCGAACCCGCGACCTTCCAGCTTGTTAATCTTCATGTATTAGTAACAGAGAGTTAAACAACCAAATCCTAATGTGATCTAAGGATATGCAGCTACTAATAGAAGGCGATGAGACGTATGCATGTCTGCTCTTACTGTCAAGCGTGTTTTAAACAATTTTTAGGCGTGTCTTAACCAGGTAATGATGTGGATATTTATGTCGTCATTGGAATGTTACTAGATCATGTTTTCCGCTTGCGATAGAAACCGCAATCGCCACACTGGAGATCCCATTTCATCCATAGGACGTGTCTTCCGAAAGATTGCTTTCAGTTTGTGACTTAGCCTCTGGATTGTTTTACATACATTTCAAGTGGTACGCCCGGTTATCAGAATCCACCCTTTATGACGCCTAATTTAATTTATGACACATTAGAGATCTGAAATCGCGAACCTTTTGCGGGACAATTTAACAGGCATTCCTATCCTTGAATCTAGTCCTACCTCTAATAGCCCTCACACTTAAGTCTCTATTGAACGGAAAGTGTATTTTATGTATCACTTTTGAATTTAAATTTTGAGATAACGAGGTATCGTCGAAGAAACTCAGACCAATGGGAGGGGGCAGTCCGCATCGCGCAAGACAGAAGCCTTGGCTGTTACCTCATCTGAAGGCAGACACTGGTCTAGCACGCGCGGCGTCCCAGCCAGCACGGGCCGCGTTCAGTCTGTGTGGAGTGGTCCAGAGAAGCAGTCTTGTTTGGTATCTTTGCTAGCCGCCGACTCGTCCGCCCGGCCTGCCAGACAGTCGGAGATATCAAAGCGCGAACAAGACACGAACCTACGTCATTAAGTTGGGAACAGAAGTTCGTGTGCTGGGGACATCGCAAATTTTTACGTTTCGTGCAGAACTGTTTAAAAAGTAGCCAAAGTTCACGAGCGGTTTATAACAGCAAATCTATGGTGAACGACCGATCGGTGTAAAGAAAAGTGGTTCAGACATGAAGACTTCGCGAGAGATTCACAAATGGCAGACATCCGCCGTGTAAAGCATTGAATTTGAGTTTTACGCAATGCATTTCTATATAACTATCTTCTCTTTCGAGTGGAAATACATCATTCGTGTTTCTTGTTAAAATACAATTTGTAGAACAGACTGAAACACGCTTAGTGCAGTAGTGAGACTATGAATTTTGACTGTTTCTTGACGTCTCACCATCTACCGAGACGTAGTTGTAACCGGTTGCAACAGTGTGCACAGCGCCTCTTGAAAGTATATTTGTTACTGTTATAAAACATTTATCAGCAGTGAATTTTAGTGTAATGAAGTATCATAAAGTGAAAGTTGTAATGTGAATGGTTATATTAACCCAAACTGCTGTTTATATATTTACTATTATTATCAAGCTTTTATCTAGAACGGCGGCATCCGGGAACAAAATAAAAAGAGTACGTTTAAACTATTAGCAATGGAAGGATATGGTTTGTTTAACTAGACTGCCTCCGTCGCAGCAGTAGTGCGGCAAAGTTTCTATAACACAAGTCGAAAATGAGACTTTCGCGTGATCCGGTGTAAACCTGCCAACTACCTGGTATTTATTTTTCAAATTAGTATCATATTTTTTATCACGTTCATTATCGAGGAAAAATAAGTACAACTAAAGAACCTTTATAGGTGACGCAGTAATTACTCTGCTCTTCTTAATATTCCAGTGTGGAATTTGAATTAACACTCCCCACACACGAGCAGCGTTATTCTTAATGTGTGCAGTAAGTAGAATCGCTTTCCTATTCTGCGGCGTGACGATATTGTATTTTTTGTTTGTGGCGCATAACACTCAAACGTCAGAAAGTGCAACGTGAAATACTAGACGTGAGTTGGAGTGAACTACCGTAAATCTTCAGGAGCTGTAGAGTGCTCGTGGACAGTATCGCAGACACGCATCTACTGGCAACAGCAAAGCTGCAAGTGAATTCAGTTGAAGTGTGCAGTTACTTAGCTCCTCATGCTTACGAGAAAGTGAGTTCAGGGGCAGAGTTGACGACGATGAACTCCCTGACTCGTCTGCCCTCGCTGTCTGTTGCGACGGCCGTCCGGACATCTGTGTTGTTTACACCGATGAGTGGGAAGGAGCATACCGACCCCAATAATAATGCGGGGGTCTCCGTCGCAAGTCCAGACAAACATGAACACGAACCTCCACCGGCACCAAAGCGCGGTGACAAGTATTCCCTGAGACCTCGCTCACTGCAGAAACGGGCGGAGACGGAACAGCGGGGCCGGGCCGCCGCCAACACCAGGTCTAAAAGAGGTGAAGGTACTTCAGGTGCGACCAGGCCGAAACAGAAGCCTCCGCCGCTCAGCAAATATCGGCGAAAGACAGCGAACGCCCGTGAGAGGGACCGCATGCGGGAGATCAACGCCGCCTTCGAGACGCTCCGTCGCGCTGTGCCTCACATCTCAACATCCGCTCACCATAATCAACATGACAGCAACGGCAGCGAGAAGCTCACCAAGATCACCACTCTCAGATTAGCCATGAAATACATCGCCGCCCTGAGCCAGGCGCTCCAGCAGTCCGACGCCATCCTGCAGATGTCCGAAGTTCGAGTCCCAGCACTGCCGCCTCCGAGCTCTATTAGCAGCAGTAGTAGTAGCAGTAGTGGCAGTCTGCAACTCTTGTCAGATGGGGAGTCGCTCACATTTAGCGAACACTGCCTCACACCGCCAGATCTGAGGCAGGAGAGTCTGACACCTCCAGACTTCACGCGGCAGTGCCTCACTCCTGCTGACCTTACGTCCCCAGACCTCAATAGGCATTGCCTAACTCCTCCAGATCCTAGCCAACAATGTCTCACACCCCCTGAGTTCAACAGGCGTTGTATGACTCCACCGGATCTGCGTCACCAGTGCCTAACTTCGACCGATCTGAGCCAGCATTGCTTGACGCCACCTCACTGCCTGACCCCTTCAGACTTCGCGGATCATTCCTTGACCGCTGCGGATTTTGGCGATTCCCTTACACCCCCAGACTTCAGCACGCATTCGCTCGCATCTCCTGATTTTGGAGACCCGTGCCTCACACCTCCAGGGTTCAGCGACCTCACCCCGTGACAGTTTCGTGCAAGTTGCTTTAATGGTGGCACCAGGGGCGCCGTTATCACTGTGTTGGAGCCAGTTGGAGGCGAGTTGCTCCTGTTAGTGTGTTATCTCTTACATTTAGCATCACACATGTCACAAATACTTTACAACAGCCGTCAATACCTACATCGCAATATAGTGGTTCCGTGAAGATACAGTTGCTGTATTCTGACGTCAGAAGTGCGTGGGTTGCTTCAGTTACAGTCGCCAGTGTCTCCATAGGAAACGGATAACTTCGTTTATAAGTGAAATTATTGCATTTACTTCAGAGCCTGTTTTGTTTTCTTTTTCTGACTATAATTTAAATGTTGTAACTCAATAACTTCGTCAATTGTTAAATCGGTTTGCAGTTGCATTCCGATTCTGCATCGATATATGGTTTGCATTTTTAGGCCTGCTTCTCTGATTCATTTGCCCTGTTTTCTCTATCCAAACTGGACAGCGGGACAAACGAACACAAGTGGCTTCATCAATGTAAGTCATTCTGTGCGTCTCTCTTTAAAACCTGCCTTGGCACCTGATAGTTGCAGGTCACAACATTTCGAGTTTGTTACTGGAAAGGACAGAAGTCTCTGGTTTTGCAGTTTCGTCATGTGTAAAATAATGTAAGAGTAAGTTAACAAAATCTGCAACTGATGGTCAATTTTACCGTCAAAACAGACAGTAATAGTAAAGAAAGTAAGACATGGAAAATGGTACTGGTTACTAAAAAACCATGATGAAGCAAATATATGTTAAAGAGAAAATGAAAACGTTTCTTCTACCCTTGTGGGATGATGGGCATCATTTAGTAATGCATTACGAAATCTCTTACAGTGTATTATGTTAACACGTGTACTGTTTTCGACAAGGTTTTTGTGCATTAAAGCAGACAATAAGATAGTCGTTTAATTGTGCAGCTTATTGCCACATATTTTAGTGACGCACTAAAGCATAAGTAATTAGTTACAAACAAAAGTTTCACTATTACGCTATTTTTGTTTCATTATACGTCATAACATGAAACAGCTGTTGCAGCAAATATCGGTCCTTTTCTGTTTTCATTCGTTTCTGTTGGAATATTCAACATCAGACAAGCGAGAAGCTGGAATTATATCTGTAGATATATGTCATATTAATGCCACTCTTCTGTGAAGTGACTTTATATCCTCCCTGTGTTTGGTTTGTGGGGGGGGGTTAGGTGATGTTCATTTGTTTCTACAGGGGACGATGTTGGAATGATTAACTTTACCTCGTGACATAACAGGCGCGCTAAATTTTTGGGTTCTTCATTTCGAATGCAAAAGCGACGTACGAGAACACGTCATATTTCGTAGGAAGTAACAGGCTATGGAATTCAGCTATCTTCAAAAGAATTCGCCAGTAGCAACGTCAATTATAACACTAGTCCGTGTTATTGTGCAACTTGATAGGCCTGTTATGATATAATTCTAAAACTAAACGAATAGAATTATATTTTGCTTAATGTTAATTACAAAGAACGTCTGCTTTCTGAATTTGAGTCTCATCAGAATGGGTTTGTCCTCCCCTTGGCTGTAAGGGGCTGTCATCACTTCAGTTTAGCTCGGAAAACAAACCATCGCTCAGAGCCAAAACTGACTGTGATTCTGTCTATACGTATTTGTGGGTGTATTCTTATATTATATTATATTATGAATCATCAGCTGAGATTTACACTACGTCGGAACTCATGCTTAGAAGCTTCTGAAGTCAATCAGAAATACTTAAGTTTAGTAATATTTATGTTCATTGTAGATATAAGAGAAATTCAGTCCCAGAGAGAGTCCGTACCAGCCACTTAATAGAATATATATTTGTTTCTTACGTTCGTAAAGTGTTTTAAATGACGTGATTCTTAGAACACGATTTTACTTGTAAACAATTCCACAGAATTCTCTGCACAGAAATTGTCTAAGTTCCAAAAGGAGCTTGCATTATTTATTTTTATATACAAACTGTTATTTTAGTTTCTTGCGAAATTCTTCCATTTCCTAAGGAATACATTCCCCCAGAGTTGACAGTAAGCTTGTTTTCCACTCTCGAATGAGCGATATGAGGTAATGTGGAAACCCGTAGAACGTTTACGGGACTTTTTTTATACATTTTGATGACTGCTAACTGTAAACAGGCACAGCATTCCCTAATGAGGATGTCACTGTTTGTTCTCAATTATCTTAACCTTAGAGAAAGCATAATTTTTTATTCGTTTTCTTACTGTTATTTTATGAGAGAACGTGTTTTGTTGATGTTATATAAACTATTTATTAGTTTTAATGGTAATACATTATAACACTTTCGCTTGGCATTTTTATTGACAGATGCTGTTACTAAGTACTCAATGTAAAAGACCTGTCTCTTCACACACATATGCATGTGTACAATTTTCTCAGCTGTGGGGTTTTATGGTTTTACGAATGATCACATGAACTCTTTCTGTGTTCTATGGTGACGTATCCAGTAAAAATTGCTTAAGTAACAAGCCTGAAGAGGAGTTGAGGTACGGTGTTAAGAATGAAACAATTATTACAGAACGATTACAATATATACTAAAAACTAGGAGGGCAGACGCTAATCCAGCATGGAAAGACTACAGGTAGAATCGTTTTGGTGTGTGGTGTTCTGGAATGTCTGACATTTTCTAAAATTTCTGAAGAACAAAACATCGATGAATTTGATCTTAGAGAAGTTCTTAGCCATCTGTTGTCCTTGCTACCCTTTACTTTTCGAATATAAATGCAACAACAACTTATATATTACTCCAGAATTTTAGTTGGTTTCTTGAATTTGAATTTTAAATTTTGTCTATAATTTCTGTGAAGTATGACAGTCTTCTGCATAAATATTGACATGAATATATAGGACTACTTCATTGTTTTACTTTCGTGATGAAATATGATGTCTTACGGTTTATATAATGACGCTGTCAATAGGTCAGGTCCTGTAGCCTCGACATTTAGGGTGCAAAGTGAATAACGAGTTAGAAAGTATGTGGAAGGCAGCTGACGTGGCCTAATTTTACCGTCTTCATCGGCATTTACCTGGAGGGACTGAGGAAGAAAGTGATTAATCTCAGTCATCGGTTTCCCCTGCCGATCTTCATTCCACCAAATTCTCCATCATAATCACTCGGGGCAGGCTAGAATAGGCCAATCAGTGGCCCTTTGTGCCGAGCGGGCCCAGCTGGACTCTCTATCTCAGGTCTGTGTTTTGAACCCGAGAAGTCCCGAATACGAAGCAGGAGTGCTGCCTACTCATTTTACCGGGTATTTCAGTGATAAATCTGAAAATAGTTCTATTGCTTATGGATGGTATGTTTCTCACATTTCGGTCGTTGGTCTAGTATTCCCGTAGTATAAAGTTGAAATTGTTTTCGCTCTCCTGGAGAAGCAGTTCACCTCATGTTTGTTTCCGTAAAACTTTCACTGTTCTTGTCGTGTTCCATTTGATACAGTAAATGATACATCGGCGCAAGAACTTCCAGGTACACTTATCAGCAGTTCAGCGGTATTGAAGCGTGTAGAACTCCAGCTTTATATATAGCGGTCCGCGTGTTCAGTCTCAGCTCATAGACCGACTATCTAAACTGAGGCTTTTCTTCGATCAGTGCAGGTGAATGTAGCACAAATGGGGGAGAGGAGGAATGCATAAAAGGTATTGGTGGGAAAGCCAGAAGAAAGAAGATCACTGGGCAGACCACGACGTAGATGGGTGAACGCTATAAAAATGGATCTTAGAGAGATATGATGGGATGGTATAGATTGGATTGATCTGGCTCAGGATAGGGACCAGTGGGAGGCTCTTGTGAACACGGTAATGGGCATTCGGGCTCCATAAAATCCTGGGAAATTCTTGAATAGCTGTACAATTGGCAGCTTCTCAAGAAGGGCTCAGCTCCATGAGTGAGTGAGTCCAGTTGAATGCCGGGAAAGTGTCTCAGTTGTTGCCACTTCTGTCCCCTTTTGCATTCTTTCCAATTCATTATTCGCAGATCATCATCATGTTAGACTATATAGCCTGGTTGCTACTGATAGTGTTGTTAAAGAAGCAATAAACAAATAAAATTAATTTATACAAAGGCGATAAATATTCACATATGAAGATACGGCAATTTATCCGCTGCAGGAGTGAGTATTCATGGCTGTAGAAATTCCTAACATATTAAAACCTTCCCGCTGTGTGATGTGTCACGAATATATATGTTTTCGGAATTACCAGCTTTAAGTAATCAGCGTGTTTTGCTAGTAGGTAGAAAAACATGTACATATTTATGTACCATATCGGAAATCAGCACAATTCTTTGACCTGCTTTTGAGAATGCAACGCAAGCTTTGGCTTGTAATTAAACGTCAGCTGTTCAAAGGGCACTTTGTTATATTCTTACAGAGAACATGGGTTAAATGAGATCGAGTCTGAGGACGTAAATATATCCAGAGAGAAAGTCGTGTTTAAGCTGCGGCAAGTAGTCTGCGTGTTTCGTAACGATCAACTAATTAGGCTCACAGCACACACACACACACACATTAATTGCGGTGGAGAATAATTTACATGTATGCCTCTAGTGGCCGGCGAGAGGATTTAGTGTGGATGGCCACTGAAGCATTACAATGATCAGTGAACCTTGGTACCAGAAATCATTACATGCAGTTTTAGAACGTAAAAGTAAGGTAAAGGTATCCCTGTAACAGGCCGTGGAGGCCCATAGGGTTGTGAGAGGTTGAGAGTTCCACATATTCTAGACAATCGGCTCACAGATGGCGGTAAGGTCAGCTTTATGCGACGGCCGCCTTTTACTCCCCAGGAAGATTCCTGGTACTCATTTCTGTTTGAGGCTGAGGCAACCCCAGTGCCATAGTGCGGCTGGAAGGATTAGGTCAATTGAAAGGATCCACCTCATCGGGACTCGAACCCGCCACCTTCCGGCTTGAAGCATAGTGCCTGTACCAACTACTCTACCGCGTACCCCAGTTTTAGAAGGTACGCTATGTTAAAGAGTTCTTCCCTCAGAATTAATTCCGAATGAAGGCACTGAAATAGGAAAGTGATAAATTTAAGTTACTCGTACATGTAGAACGAAGTTATTTGATTTTAACTCAACATTGGGTAAACAGAACCCTCAATTTTAGCACCGATTGTATCACAGTTCGTCACTGGGCAGGATACTGAACCAGTTCCGTCCATTTCCCATCTTCATTACCGATCTCTCTTAGATTTATTCACATATTGGTTTACAGCTGAACATTTTCCGAGAGGTTACATCTGCGTGTATTATTCTTCTACTGATCCTAACTACATGCCCAGCCCATCGTAGGTTTCAACCTTCTAACAACACTAGATGACCTATGTAAATCACAAATTCCTCGTTGTCCTATATATATTTCCTCCCCCCTTTAGTGAACTGGGTACATAATTTGTAATCACTTATTTCCTAGTCATACGGAGATACTACCGTTTACACCCATACAAAACAGTTGGCAGATTTATTGTTTTGTACGGCCTGATGTTTAGAGTTCTGGAATATAGATGATAGAGTAAGAGGTTTAGAGAATAGTAATAGTAGGAATAGCAGGACCAGAAGCAGAAATAATAATAATAATAATAATAATAATAATAATAATAATCATAATCATAATCATCATAGGCTTAAGTCAGTTGGCATGCAGATTATTTTAATGGTTTGACTTACGGCACTAGAGGTGGAGAAGTTTACCTGTTCTTCGTTGTACCAGGGTTACTTATAATTAAAATGATAACGTCAAAGAGGAGGAGGTGAGCAGGTCATGTAGCACGAATTGGGGAGAGGAATGCATATAGAATATTGGTAGGAATGCCAGGAGGAAAGAGACCACTACGAAGACCAAGACGTAGGTGAGTGAACAATATTAAGATGGATCTTAGAGAGATAGGATGAGATGGTATGGACGGGCTCGATCTGGTTCAGGATAGGAACCATTGGAGGGTTCTTGTGAACACGGTAATGAACCTTCGGATTCCATAAAATGCTGGGAATTTCTTGAGTAGCTGCAGAATTGGCGGCTCCTCCAGAAGGGCTCAGCTCCATGAGTAAGTAAGTAAGTAAGTATGTTCTGGGAAGTCCATTTCCTATAGTTCAGCTCAGAGTGATTTGTTTTTGTAAAAACACAGCCTTGTAGACCATTGCCCTCTTTCGTCGACTTCTCCAGTAAAACTCGCCTCTAGCTTTACACGGGATTGGGCACAACTCTCTTGTTTAAAATAAAAAGGCGAAACTGAGAACATTTTGATATGAGATTACGAGAGTGATTTTATTTTGAAAACTGAGTCACCAGCAACGGCAAACAGTGACACACATCTCCATCAGGTAAGCTAACACGATCATTGTTCACCGCCACCACCACAAAATGCACCTGATACATCAAAATTAACATAATTGGTATTTTTTGATTAGTAAAGCATTATCTTCTGCAGATGTTAATGTATCAGATTTTTAGGCTTCCCGTAGGTTAAGTAGTTTGTCCAATGTGTGGGGATCTCCTCCTCCACCTCCTCTTCCAGGGTTAGGGCCATTGACCTGTTTCAGTCCTCAAGAGAATATGTCCTCCGATGTAGCTATGGGTGGTCTGATATTGTGTATGGTATAATTTTATTTAGTGTAAACTCAAGTGCGTCACAGCCCACCTTATTTCACTCCTTTATCTTGAATTAGCAACATCTTGCAAAGTTTGACATGTCCTTTCTTCTGTCTTTTTCCACACAGACTTGCCTTCAAAAAGGAGACATGTACTGTTAGGAATATAAGTGGATCCGTAAGAGCTTTGCACAGAGAAAGGAATAACAGGCTGCAAAATCCATTGTTGGGCCGATCACAGTGGTCGATCGGCCTATGGCAAGAACCGTCTTCGCCCGCTTGAACAGTGGGGTCGTGGGTTCGATTCCCACTCGAGGCATGGATGTCTCTCTTCGCTTATTCTGTGTTTGTGGTCTTCTGTGTGTAGGTAGCGGTCTTGCGAATGGCTGATCCCCGTCCAAGGAGTCCTATCTGACTGTGTACAGATTAAGAAACTGAAAAAGCGTTCAAGGTTCATAAGGGCTATGGAGCAATAGGTAGATAAATAATGAATTAGTGGCCGCGCCATAGCTCAAGCGGTTAGTCGCTGGCTTTCCACAGCGGCGGCCCGGGTTCGATCCCGGGGGCTGGTCAAGTGGGATTTTTGGTGGATAAAGTGGCGCTGGGGCAGGTTTTCTCCGAGTACTTCGGTTTCCCCTGCCAATCTTCAGTCCACCAATTGCTCCACAATCACCCTCACCTATCATCTTGGG